TGGAACCCAGTGCTGGGTTCGCTGGTGGAACCTAGTGCTGGGTTCCAGTGCTGGGTTCAATAACCCGAGGAAGAAGATGAAGAAGAAAAAGAAAGAAGAGGAAGAAAAAAAAAGGAAAAGAGGATGAGTGAATTATTTTATTTTATTTTTTAAAAATATAAATAATAATAATATTAGTTGGCATAAAAAAAAATTCCACGTCTAACATGTTTTTAGTTTGTTTTTGCCATGTCATCAAAAAAATAATAAAAAATGCCACATAAGCGAGTTAACGATCGAAATTAACAGAAAGACTTAACGGAGTGCATTTCTTATAGTTGAGGGATCAAAAAAGTGCAAAAAATTGTTAAAGGACCAAAAATGTGCAACTCACTAAAGTTGAGGGATCAAATTTAGCATTTAACCAAAGTATATCAAATAGGATAGAAAATTCCGCTGTCACATGAATAGTAATATCTTGAAAGTATAATAATCGAAAATCCATATTAATTGATTATGATGAAATCAATACCTTAGTACCTCATATCTTGATTAGTTTTATTTTAATTGTTATTTTTTTTATTAATTTTAATTAAAATTTCTTCCTTTTCGATTATTCAAATAAATTTAGATTAATTATTTTGGTACTTAGTTAATCACAATCCTCGTGGATTCGACACTCTACTTATCATTATATTATTTGGAGTGATTAGTACACTTATTAGGGTAATTTTAGCACATTCAATATAAGTAATAGGGCTTTTTAATTATTAACTTACATTTAATAGATCAAAGTTTAACCTTAATTATTAACTTACATTTAAAATTAAAGTTTAGTAATTAACAAAGAAAATAATACACGTAATATTAACATTAAAATTAATATTAATTTTTTATTTTTGTAGTATGATTTAATGACAAAAACGTCAATTTTTATTTTTTTTATTTAAAAATGTCAACTTTTAACGTTTTTTATTTTAAAATGTCAATTTTTAATTTTTTTTATTTAAGGATATTAATTTTCAAGTTATTCTATTTAAAGATTAATTAGATGATAATACTAACATGTCAAACAAATTTTTTAACTGAAATGTTGAAAATTGGCATCCTTAAATAGAAAAAAATGAAAATTGACATCTTTAAATAAAAAAAATTGAAAGTTAACATCTTTATTTAGAAATTGATAAAGCTAATATTCTTAAATAAAAAGAATTGATATCCTTATTTACATCTTTTCCCATCATCTTAGAGCTTAGTATCAAAAGTATCATTAATAAATTTCTATGTTAAGGTTTTGTTTGGAATTGTAATACTTTGGCCATAGGGTTTTTTTTTTCTTTTAATCTCTCAAAATTTTATAAAATATTAGCTAACATTATTAAAAATATATAAAATATTAATTA